CCAAACTATACAACTATATTTTACAATGGACAAATGAGAGATTTTTAACTCTTGGTGCCCCAAAAATAATTTTCATTCGTATTTCTACCAAATAATGAATAATAAATAATAAATGACAGTTTAAAAGAGAAATTTTACATCATTATTTGTTAATTTGCAATCCAAACTATACAACTATATTTTACAATGGACAAATGGGAGATTGATAACTCTTGGTGCCCCAAAAATAATTGTAACTGATATTTACACGAAATAATAAATAATAACTAAGAGTTTAAAAAAGAAACTATACGACAATTTTTTACAATAAACAAATGAAAAATTGTTGACTATCGATGCCCCTAAAAAAATAATTTATATATACATGAAATAATTCTATTTTACAATGAATAAAAGTGAGGTTGTTGGTACCCCCCCAAAAAAAATAATTTTAACTCGCACGAAATAATGAATAATAAATAATAAATAAGTGGATTTTCTCGACGTTTGGGGGGGATGGATGAACGCATGTGATTTCGTTTATTACGCGACAAATTACCGACGAAACTCGCGGTGCAACTTTAAAACGCATTGCGCTGCCTCGTCGTGACTCCGCGTCAGCGTGGCACCACGACTTACCCTCGTAAAGCTGTAACGAGCGCTGTAACTGACATAATTACGAAACGAGGAAGGCGTGATGGTAATACCGATTGCGCGCCCTGCCACAGCCTCCTCGAAGCGAATATGCTGCGAGAATATCTTCTTCGCGATTAAACGCGAGTACTCACGATCGCATTGTACATTCGGACAACGAAGATCTTGGATAATGGATCGACGTAAAAGGAAGAAGCCCCGGCGATATCCGTCGGCGGGATCGATCTTTAACATTTTCGTGCAACGCGGGCGATTTAAAACCCCCCATTTGTACTACTTTTCAATTTACGTCTTTAAGAAGCGGATCGTCAGAAAATAATTCATACTTGGCTGCAATTTTTGTAATAAAATTTGTACCAGATATTAATTATAATTTATCTGATGATCGAATTGTTAAAATTTGACATTTTAGGAAGAAATTTTTTTTGTGGATTATTTACAATTATAATTTACTTATAATATAATTATAATTTGGTTATTTATAATTATAATTTACTTATAATATAATTATAATTTGGTTATTTATAAGTATAATTTACTGATAATATAATTATAATTTACTTATAATAGAATTATAATTTGGTTATTTATAATTATAATTTACTTATAATATAATTATAATTTGGTTATTTATATTATAATACATCTGCTAATCGAACTGTAAAAATTTGAAATTTTGGAAACGTTACAGAATTTTTTTTCTGGACCATTTATAGTTATAATTTAATTATAATGTAATTGTAATTTGATTGTTTATATTATAATTTATCTGACGGTCGAATTGTAAAAATTTGACATTTTGGAAACGTTACAGAATTTTTTTTTGAGAATCACTTCTAATTATAATTACATTATAATATAATTATAACCTGATTATTTATATTATAATTTATCTGATGATCGAGTTGTTAAAATTTGTCACTTTGGAAACGTTACAGAATTTCTTTTGTGGATTATTTATAATTATAATATAATTATAATTTGATTGTTTATATTATAATTTACCAGATGATTGAATTGTTCAAATTTGACATTTTGGGAACGTTACAGAAATTTTTTTTGTGGATTATTTACAATTATAATTTACTTATAATATAATTATCATTAGGTTATTTATATTATAATTTGTCTGATGATCGAATTGTTAAAATTTGACACTTTGGAAACATTACAGAATTTTTTTTGGGGATCATTTATAATTATAATTGAATTATAATATAATTATAATTTGAATATTAATATTATAATTTGTCTGATGATCAAATTGTTAAAGTTTGACATTTTGAAATGTTACAGAATTTTTATTTGAGGATCATTTATAATTATAATTAAATTATAATATAATTATAACCTGATTATTTATATTATAATTTATCTGATGATCGAATTGTTAAAATTTAACACATTGGAAACGTTACAGAATTTTTTTTTGTGAATTATTTATATTCTATGATTAACAATACTGAAAATAATCTCAATAAAATTCTAAATGAAGTTCGTATGAAATCGATCGAGTATTAAAATTCAAAATAAAGCATTTTCTGTAACAATTTCGTAGATATGAATTAAATAGTCAGAGATTCAATTACGAATTCTAACAATATTGCATTTTTTTTAATTTACTTGGTGTTATTCAATATTTTTAATTATTTTTAATTATTGAAACTCTGCAGCTTTCAAAATCTCTGGTTTTATTTATAAATTTAAAATTATATTGAAAATTCTGTAATATTTTTTGCATTGAATTTAATTCTCCGAAAACACACATAACAAATTTAATTTTCATCTAACAATTTTTCATATACAATTAAACATATGGAAATTTAACAAAATTATATTTATAATATAAACATTCTACTTAACCCTGAACTTGTCAAATATTTCTATCAAAATATCTGTCAAAATGTCATTCATACAAATTTCAAAATAATTCAAAAATTCTTTAAAATAATTTAAATTTTATTTAAATTATCCAAAATTAACTTAATTGCGTTAATTGCTAATTAGAAGGGACTTGTAACTCTTCGAAGGGGGAAAAAGAGGGGGAAAAAATTGGATCTTCCCCGTTCGCGTGTGTCTCGCCAGCTTTCACCTAATTTCGCGCGAGCAAACCATCTACATATATAGTTTACCTTACAGCCGAGAAAGTAAACGGCCTTAAAACGCCATCCTGATTGGAGCAAGTCCTTAAAAGGACCGTGCGCCCGAAACGAGAAGCATAAATCAAAATTACATTTCTTTCGCATAAAAAAAAAAATCGCGATCTTGATTCGCCCTGAACCGCGCAGCAATCAATCTTGAAATATCCCGCGCGAATGGCGCGCATGCGCAACGACGGGATTAGATCGAGAATCACGACGCGACACTTCGAAACGCGAGAAATTTTATCGAAATTCGAGGATATTTTAAATTTGAGATCGGGAAACCACTGTGGAGGGGTCGAAAATGTTTTTTTATAATTTTTTTAATTGGTAGGTTGGTTATTATATTGATAAAAAGCAAGTTTTAGTTCGATTGAATAATTTTAGTATTGGAAATAATTTAGTGAAATATTGAATAAGAGTAATAAACTTTTGAATTATTAGTGATTGATTTTATTTTGTTTTGGGGGGACAAAATGGGGTACAAAGTACTACGTACTGACGTTTGTCGTTCCACCATTCGAATACAATTATAAAATAACAATTTTGGTTGTTAAAAAACCAAATTACAATTTCACGTGAAATTAATGATTTTTGTAACTGTTTCAAGGAAGAAAATGGTGAACAAACTTCCAAGTTCCTATTTATATTCGTGATTCTATTATTTAAATAAAATTCCAAAATAACAATTTGAGTCGAAAAACAGAATTATAATTTTGCGATAAATTAGTGAAGATTTTATTCAACTATTCTAGGGGACAAAATGGGGAATGGAACACCAAACTTTCATTTATATAATTATCTTATTATTTAAATAAAATGCGAAAATAAAAATTTAAATTATAAATTAAAATTACAATTCAGAGTCAAATTAATGAACATTTATCCAACTGTTTCAAGGAACAAAATGTCCAATAAACTTTCAAGCTATCATTTATATTGAGGATTCCAATATTCAAATAAAATTCAAAAATAACAATTTAAGTCACAAAACAAAATTAAATTTCTGTCAAATTAGATTCGATCTAAACGTTCCAAGGAACAAAATGGTGAAAAAATTCCCAAGTCTCCATTTATATCGATGGTACCAATATTTAAATAAAATTCAAAAATAACATTTTAAGTCACAAAATTACATATCACGTTAAATTAAATTAATAAAAACGTTCCAAAGAATAGAATGGTGAACAAATTTTCAAGTTTCTATTTGTATCGATAATCCCAATATTCAAATAAAATTCAAAAATAACAATTTAAGTCCCAATATTCAAATAAAATTCGAAAATAACAATTTCAGTCCCAATATTCAAATAAACTTGAAAAATAACAATTTAAGTCTCAATATTCAAATAAAATTCAAAAATAACAATTTAAGTCCCAATATTCTAATAAAATTCAAAAATAACATGAAAATAAAAATTAAATTAAAAAATAACATTTAAGTCGCAAAATTACATAGCACGTTAAATTAAATTAATCAAAATGTTTCAAGGAACAAAATAGCAAATAGTCTGCGAAGATCCCATTTATATTTATGATCCCAATATTCAAATAAAATTAAAAAAATAACATGTTAAGTCACAAAATTACATATCACGTTAAATTAGATTAATAAAAACGTTCCAATGAATAAAATGGCGATTTCTTAAGTTCCCATTTATATTGACAATCCCAATATTCAAATAAAATTCAAAAAATAACATGTTAAGTCACAAAATTACATATCACGTTAAATTAAATTAATAAAAACGTTCCAAAGAACAGAATGGTGAACAAATTTCCAAGTTTCTATTTGTATCGACAATCCCAATATTCAAATAAAATTCAAAAATAACAATTTAAGTCCCAATATTCAAATAAAATTCGAAAATAACAATTTAAGTCCGAATATTCTAATAAAATTCAAAAATAACATCAAAATAAAAAATAAAATTCACAAATAGCATGTTAAGTCACAGAATTAAATTTCGCGTCAAATTAAAAAATCCAACCGTTCCAAAGAACAAAATGGTCGAGTGACACGTTCCCCATTGCCCATATTTAAGGCCCCAATTATCCCCCAAAAATTCCCCAAAAACATTCCCCGAAAATTTCCCCAGAAAATTCCCCGAAAAATCAGACAAAATTCACCAGAATAATTCTCTAGAAAAATTTCGGAGCGTACACAATATATTATCACTGAAATATTTTGGGCGCGCGAAAACGCATAAATGTTGAAGGACTCACCGATGGCGCAACAGAGGATCAACAGCGCAGCCACTCCAGACACTCTCATGGTGGATTTCCTTTCTGGAATACTCGCGACGGAAGTACACCAAAGTGTTTTCCTCTCGTCACGTCATAACAGGCCGTCTCGTGAACGAACTTCGTGACCTTCTAACCGCGCGTCTTTCAACGGACCGCCATTATATCCTGGCCGACGACGAGCTTGGTAATTAACGCTCTTTCGCGCCGGCACTAGAACCCGACGGTGTTCGCTAATAACTTCGTTCGACGAGTTTTCCTCGCACCTACGGCCACCTTTCTTCCCACTCCGTGTTTCTCTTGCGAATACGTCGACGCACGCACTCTCACACACACACACCACACAACACTCCACTGATATCTCCGTGGTCCCACGATACGCGTCTTCGAATATCTTCTACTGAAATACCTTGCACATTTTTCTCTGTTTTAGAACTAAATTTTAGCTTAGGTTCTCCTTCCAACAATTACGATCTTCACATCTATATACTTTTAATTTTTTTAAACAAAATTTGAAGCAACAATTTTAGGTTAGGTTCTTCCAATAACTACGATCTTCACATCGAATATCTTGCACACTTTTATTTATTTCAAAAACAAAATTTGAAGTAACAATTTTAGGTTAGGTTCTCCACATCGAATATTTTCGACTGAAATATCTTGCACACTTTTGTTTTTTTTTCAAACAAAATTTGCTGCAATTTTAGGTTAGGTTCGTCTTCCAATACCAACGACCTTCGAACAACCTCTAAAATACACTTTTGTTTGTTTCGAAACAAGATATGACAGAGCAATTTTAGGTTAGGTTCGTTCCAAGACGCATCTGCTCGCCGGAGGACTGTCAACGACTCATCGTCCTCGCATTTATCGATCACGTCTGCTTTCTCCGACCGTTTCTCGGTGTCGATTTCTATCCACGAGCTTCCTCCTCCCCTAGTGTACACGTGTTCGTGTTTGCTGTGGTACTTCCTTCGGAACGCGGGACAGGGTTTTCTTTTTCACAGTTACTTCTCTCTCTCGCTCTGTGTACACTCGAGCTGGTCCTCGCAATTCCAGTAATTAATAGACCCCCTCCCCCGCCCGTTGGTTCGATCGATAATCGCTTTTCCAAGCCAGTGCTTTCCTTTAAACTTTTACCCGGGTATTCCCATCGTCTGCGGAGACGATTGAAACTTTGTTATCGCAGAAATTGCTCGTCCGTGCAGCGACGTAATCTTGAACTCGGTTGCTTTGGTGGGCTGTTCGCCTCCCCCCGCCCCCCGCCCCCCTGCTGTTAATTAAACGATTCCCGGTCGAACTTGGTGTTTTTTTCTCTTCGTTTCTTTTCTCTTTTTATCTTTTTCGTGTCTTTTTTTTTTTCGCCCCCCCACCAAAAACTTGCGATTCACGCGACACGCCAAAGGAATTAATTAGTTTAGGGGGACACCACCCCCGTTTGGTGCACGGGACTACGGACGAAATTGGCGTGTCCCAATTCCGCCGGCTCGCGGGGGCGGCTGAGGGTAATTAAGAAACTTGTTACTCGATAATTCTCTCTCGAGACGTAGCCAGAAATTCGTCGCTCATTGGTTTCCAACGTTTCCCCTTTCTGGTTTGCTCGCGTCGTCCTCCTCTTCCTTGATTCTTTTTTTTTCGTCTGCGCCACGTTTCTTCGCCCTTTTCCCTAACTAGTATCCAGCGCCGTTACTGCCTAAGAGAGTGGGGGAGCAGTGGTCAGAGATTGGGGAGAATTTTTTTTTGGGGAGATAAATAGTGGAGAGAGTCACTCGATAACTAAAGAGATCAAGTGTTTTTGTCTTTTTGAGGTGTGGGAGGAAGCTAGTAAGGTGCCTTGGACGCCTATGTAGTGAATGAACAGTCGAGAGGAGCAAAGCAGTCGAGCACTTGTGAGAGACTCGAGAGCGTGGCCCTCTGGCGGCGGGCGCGGGAACTATCGCCAGAGTCTCTGTAGTTATCGAATGACTGGTAAATTTGTACCTTCTGACAATCTTTCGGTGATTATTTACCATGTTAAAGACCTTGTCACTATGTTTATTTATTATAGAGGATTTTTAACAACATTCTTGTTACATTTAAGTGTTCAACCAAGTGTATTATAATAGTAACCAATTTATTAATGGAGAGTTACTGTTTTTAAAGAATATGGATCATTGCACCTTGGTATGTTAGGAATTATGACATGATTTATTAGGTTAATAGCAATACTAATTTCTTTTTGCATGAATCTTTTATATATTGAAACTCGAGAACCTAGAATTAATTATAGAACTTTTTGAATGTTAAAAATTGTAATAATATTTGCTGAGTTAACAGAAAATACTAATTTATTTTTGTATAATTTTTTGGAATTTTTTGAATGTTCCTGAAATTTTCTAATAATATTTTAGAGTCGTGCTCGTGTGACTAGTAATCATGCACAGAAATATAGCTTTTAATTGTTCACTTGCTCGCGAACCTTGTCCACAGTTGACAATAATTACTAGCATTAGTCTCTACCACGCAAATTTCAATGGCACTAAAGTGTACTAAGGAAATAGGCTCGCGAGTATTCCAGAGCGAAAAATAATAGTTTAAATTAGGTCTGGGTCCGAGTTCAAGACAATAACGACGAGCAAACGATTCTAACTTGAAAATAAATTGTAATTATAGCTTAACAAGTTTAACAAGAGCCTTGAAGTAGTGGCGGGGATGGCACGCGATTAGACTACCATCTAAGCCTATGTACATAGCTCTCACTAGCATATACGATCTCTAATATTGTTTAACAAATATAACTCGTCAAATTTTTATTCTTAAACAAACGAAAAACTGACGTAGTACTTAGTTTTGTAATCATGTCGAAATTCATTAATTTTTCATTTCTGAGGGGGGAAAAACCTTGTGAACCATATATGTTTCACCAGACAGTTAACGCGTTGCCAAACAATAATTTTCGATAATCGAAAATCTGATGTAGTACTTAGTTTTATAACCATGTCGAAATTCATTAATTTTTTGTTTACTGGGCGCAAAAAATCCTCGTGAACCATATGTGGGTCACCTGGCAGTTAACGTGTTGCCAAAGAAAAAATTTCGATAATCGAAAATCTGACGTAGTACTTAGTTTTGAAATTCATTAATTTTTCGTTCTAACTCGAGGTGAAAAGATCATCGTGAACCATATATGGGTCACCAGACAGTTAACGTGTTGTCAAACAAAACTTTTCAATAATCGAAAATCTGACGTAGTACTTAGTATTGAAATTCATTAATTTTTCGTTCTAACTCGAGGTGAAAAAATCCTCGTGGGCCATATATGGGGCACCAGACAGTTAACGCGTTGCAAACAAAAATTGTTGAAAAGTTGACAAAATTTGATAAAAACTAGGGTTTTTGTTTAGCTTGTTATGCTATATCTATTTATTTTTCTCTTCTAATGTGCTTCGAGGTCGTTAACATGGTGAATAATTACCAAAATTCTGTTATTCGTGGAATAGAAATAATCTGAATATCAATGGGGTAATTTGCAATGTTGTTCAGTCTTTGATTGGTAAATAGTTGAAATTAAATATTGCTTGTTGAATAAATAGACTTTCCAGTATTTTTACTAGATTAGAATAGTTAAATTTAAAGCAAAAACAACTGGATTAGCTTGAAAGGGATCGATGAATAATAGAACAAAATATAATATTAATTGATGAATCTGAGGAATACGTGAATGCATCTGTAATGGCGAGAGTAACACGACGAAAACGTTCGACAGAAAATCGATGCAGCTGTCTGTAATTTTACTCACTGAACAATACTGTTTCTTCGAAGATGACCCCAAAAATAGAGGTTAAAAACCACATCGACTAAATCAATTTCAACTAAAATCGACAGCATTTGACGTGGAACAATGTTGCAATTAACACATTTAAAATAAATTTATTTTCGAATAACAGATATATTTGTCTTCTGTTCGATTCTTTACTTAAATAAACATTCTTAATTATAAGTGGTTATATTGCCAGGTGCCTGTTGATTGCAGAAACGATCGATTGAAGCCTTTTTTAAAAAACGATTTTCTCCAAAATTTGCAAATTTTTCATTTTTTTGAGACGTCATTTTCTCAGAAATATTTGAGTTTCACAATTTCCCAAAAATTTGCAATTTTTTTATGAGATGTCATTTTCTCTGAAAAATTTGAATTTCTCAAGTTTAATTTTCTCAAAAATTTGCAATTTTTACAATTTTTTGAGACTTCATTTTCTCAGAAAAATTTGAGTTTTTTAAGTTTAATTTTCTCAAATATTTGCAAGTTTCACAATTTTTTGAGACGCCATTTTCTCAGAAAACTTTTAGTCTTACATTTTAATTTTCCCGAAAATTTGCAAATTTTAATTTTTCGAGACGTCATTTTCTCTGAAAAATTTGAGTCTCACAAGTTTAATTTTGTCAGAAATTTGTAAATTTTACATTTTTTGAGACGTCATTTTCTCAGCAAACTTTTTTCAAAAATTTGAATCACTTAATTTTCTCAAAAATTTGCAATTTTTACATTTTTTTGAGATGTCATTTTCTCAAAAAAATGTGAGTTTCATAGTTAATTTTTCTCAAAAATTTGCAAATTCTACGTTTTTTGAGACGTTATTCTCTCAGAAAAATTTAAGTCTCAAAATTTAATTTTCTCAAAAATTTGCAAATTTTTACAATTTTTTGAGATATCACTTTCTCAAAACAAATTTGAGAAACTTGGACGACCCTTTTGGTAGAGCTGATCAAATTTTATTTCCAAACCAAGGAATACAAATTTTAGATTCGTTCAAAAACGACATCCAAAAATAAAAGTTGCGCAAAAAATAATAAAATATAAATCGTCGAATAAAACTAGTCCACCATCGACGTTTTGTAATCTCGCTTATAATATTAAATCGCGAACCCTGCGATGCTTCTCCGCGATGGAATACAGCCACGTACACACGTTGCACGAGTTTTCTCTTTTATCCTCGCGTTACACGAGCCACAAACGCCTACCTCTTTGCGTTACGTTGATAGATCGTTCCGATAAATTAGTTATCTTAATTGCAATCTGATCGAGCCATGTTCCGTGAAACCAAACAAAGGTTACAGGCTATTACCGATATTGCTTCGATGCTAGGTCACGTTCTTACCTCCCCCTATTTGTAACAAATAAAGTGATCTTATCGATCTAGTTCGAGCTATAGGATCCGGTAGGCTTCGCGGGAAAAGATCTAATCCTTGTTCTACACATCTCGCGACGAAAGGCGGCATGTACGACGGAGACACTTTATTCCATCGGTACAATCCACGAAATGAATTTTTAAACCTTTCAAATTACTCTCCTTGGGTCACTGGAGACCCGAATCAAATTCAAGATTTTTATAAAAGTCTCTCAATTTCAGATTAATATTTCTATCGAAGAGGAGTCACCTAATCAAGAAACGTTTTAATCAGATTTGTATATATGGAAATAAATAAAATTTATTTTACACTACATAGAGTGTTCGACAACCCTGGGAAAAATTTTAATGGGGGATTCTAGAGGCCAAAATAAGACGAAAATCAAGAATACCAATTTGTCGATTGAGGCTTCGTTAAAAAGATATCAACGTTTAAAGTTCCGCGTGCACCAGCGTCTCACAGGCGCAACTTTAAACGTTAATAACTTTTGAACGAAGCCTCCATCAACAAATTAATATTCTTCATTTTCGTCTTATTTTGGCCCCAAGAATCCCCCATTAAAATTTTTCCTAGGGTTGTCGAACACTCTCTATATGTTTTTATATTATGCCTCCTAAATTATCATTTATATGAAATTTGGGAAACATAAAGTGTCTTTAAAATAAAAATTAAGTGTAAAACTTTCCTTTTTGCTTGTGGAGGGTCGAATACCATTTTATAATTAGAGAAAATTGTTTTTCCGGAAATTTGTTTTGTACTTATAAAGTTAAATAAAAATACAATTTTTTAAATTATTATTTGTACGAAATTGAGAAACATAAAGTGCCTTTAAAATAAAAATTTGCTTTTTGCTTGTGGAGGGTCGAATACCATCTCATAATTAGACGACGTATGCAATTGTTTTTCTGGAAACCAAGTTCCCAGTAATCGTATAGTCTGGAATGTGTCAACTGTCAGCTGACACGTTATATTATCGAACGAAGAATGCCATTACACTGCACCGCAGGTCTGTTTTCAATAGCGAGGCGCGATCATATTGTTGCATTATAGCAACAGCCTTGGACACCTAATATGAAATTGAAGAGAATTCGAATTACCTCGAACGTGCGAATTTTGCGATTTCAGATCGCGAATTCCTCCACAATTTTAAATATATTTTTAATACGAGCGACTACCGATTTGAAAATAATTTTTTGGCGCCATTTTTGGAAAATTAAAATTCCTTCGTTGGGCAAGAATTTTTTCCATCTTTTATTAGCGATATATATATTATTTTTATTTGATAATATCCTTCTATGGAAAGTAAAATATATTTTTGGTATTTTGTAAGTTTTGGAGGCCATATTTCAGATTTATTTTATTAATTCGGTTCTTAATTTCAATTTATTTGTGGTGCATATTACTATATTTATACCAATGTAATTGTGCACAATTTTAAATTTTAAATTTCTGTACAATTTCAGATTTAAAAATTAAAAACGTCCATATTGTTTCATTTTCTTAAAAACTCTAGAACCCCCCATTAAA